TTATTAAGGGTGTATGACGTACAAAGGGTTAGATGCGCAGTTAAATCTAGGTGCCCGTCGATCCTGCCCCGTGCCGGCTGCCAAGCCCTCTGCCTGCTGCGCGGTACTCACCTGTCGGTCCTCGGTTAGAGCAGGTCGCTGCTTTTTAAAACAGACGCCCCTGGAGAGCTCCGCGGCCTCCCATGCCAGCTACGGGAGCTCCAACCAAGCGGGCAGCTCTGACGCTCTGGTTTAGGGAAGGGGGTGGGAACCAGATGGTCTTTAAGGTCCCTTCCAACCCAAACCGTTCTGTGATTCTATATTTTTAGCTCATCCATCACCACTGCTGCTGCGGACGAGAGGCCAGATTCAGTTCCCACTGTCCTAAAGCACGGACACCCGAGTGAGCCGGTCCGGTTGTTCGGCAGCTCGCCGTCCCCCACGGGAGGTGAGCTCTGTTCTCCGCTGCCCCGCACGCACCCTCCTCACCCAGTTTCACGTGTAGAAAGACACAGCCTCTTCGAAGGGGCCCAAACCCCACTACCGAAGTGGTTTGTTGCCATTGCTGTTAATAGATGAAAGGATCTAAACCCAATTAAATCATTAGTACGCGGGTTTTGTGATGTAAACAGTTTAATGAACGCATAAAAGCAGACAGAAAGCAAAAGAGCAAACCAAGTCATTGTTACAACCACTGTAGCCCGTATAGAATCTCTGTTACAAGCACGTTGCTGGCACAGCAGGTTTTACAACACAGCAGTCAGAACAGAACAGAAATCGAACCAAATCACGAGCAATACCCCTCCCTGATGAAAACTAAGACCTGGAAAATAAAAATCACAGCGAGGATTTACGTAAATCACATCACAGACTGCTCAGACTAGCCTGGGGCTCACCGCTGCTCACGGACCGTGCGGTGCTGCAGTGCACGCTGAAGCTTACATGGGGAGTGTGGACGAAGTTCAAGCACAACAGGCAGAGAGATGCCTGGATGTCCTGACAAACGCGTCCACCCACATCCTTACTTCCCACCAGGGTTCCTAAACTTTCCACTCACGCCTGTTTATCGCAGCCCTTTTTGCAGCTGCCCGTGACAGAGACTGCTCAGCTCCGGGCTGGGTGTGGAACCACTGCTTTAGAAATGCTGATCCCAAACCCGGGTTCTGCTCAGCCCGAGAACCTCAGCCCAGCACTCCTCGTGCCTTCTGTCCGCCCGCAGGAAGGGGAAGCCCCATGGCTGCTGCCTTCCACGTTCCCTGCAGCCGGACACGGACACGTTGGGATAGAAGCGGGGGAGCAAGGCTTCCTGTAGGCAGCAGGAGAACAAGATTGCATACAAAACTGAAGGGAAAGGCAAGAGGAAAAACTGATTTAATCTTCCCCTACGTCCGGCCTGGGTCTGTCACTGACTGCCCTTCACCACGTTTCGCCCTGTTGCCCGCATATCACCAGCCCAGTCTGCCGTCCGGTCGTCAACGCCTAACGTTAAGCCGGGACAGAAACGTTCTTGTTTCACAATCCAAATTCTAGTGTGTGTGTGGGAAATTTCAAAAATCACAAACGGAAGAATTACAAAAGCGTAAGCGGCCGCGTCAAAGAAAGGAGGTAGCGCTCAGCACGTAGTGAAGTTGAGTACAGGCGGCGGAGGAGGAGGAGGCACACGGAAGGTCTGACCGCGGTACCAAACTGGCCGCTACGCTTTACCAGCGCTCGGACAGCCACTGCGTGAGGATGCCAAGGCGAGCGCGCTGCCGTCACGCTACTGCCTCGCGTGCCGTTGCAGACGTCCGCACCGCGCTCCCTTTCCGCCACCCCTTCCAAACCTTCTTCCGTACCGTAGGGTTTAGGCTATACGGTACAGTTTGGAATATTCTGCCCTAAGAAAAGCATTGCTAACATGCACAATTCAAGCCGGGTTTGACTGAGTTTCAGCCGTCTGAAGTCGGGATGGGACAGCAGGAACGACGGAAAATGCCTCTGCTGCCCCTTAGAGGAGAAGGGAGTATTTCTGCACATTCCAGTGTTTCTATTTTTATTTGCTCCCCCGGGACTCCCACGCGCTCTTAATTTAACTTCAGAATTCCAGGGCAAGGGAGAACCTGCTCCACAGGGGAAAAAGGGGCTGCCAGACAGTCGCCGCTTTGTTCCTACCCCACCTTTCCGCACACAATAGTGAATGTTACCCATTAATGTGCTTTTCAGCTACGGCTGCAAGATGGAAATGCCTCCACAAAGAATTTAGAGTGTGTTTAGCCTGAATGTCAGCCTCAGACCCCTACAAAGGGCAAGTGTTGTCTCTGCATTCCAGCGCCTGCTGGTGTGGGAGGTGGGGGAGGGCTCC